AGTCGTAGTCGTAGTCGTAGTCGTAATCTTAGTCGTAGTCGTAGTCGTAGTCGTAGTCGTAGTCGTAGTCGTCGTCGTCGTCGTCGTCGTCGTCGTCGTCGTCGTCGTCGTAGTAGTAGTAGTAGTAGTAGTAGTAGTAGTAGTAGTAGTAGTAGTAGTAGTAGTAGTAGTAGTAGTAGTAGTAGTAGTAGTACGCGGTCTACACGGAGTCCGTCGCGCGGTGCGCCAACGGCCACGCCAGAACGGGCGAGCCACATAGGGCCCCCCCCCCCGCGCCCATAGGCACCGACCCCAAGACACCCAACCAGACGGGATCACGGCGGGGACGGCGCGTGAGCGCTACACGATGTGCCACGCGAAGCGTGAGGATTCACACAACACGGCGGAAAACACATCGTGAGCTCATACTCAAGGTACAAGCACAATTGAAAGTCATATAAGTTATGTTAAATATGGAAGCATGGAAGTGGAACAGACGCAGACATCACTCGAGCTCAAAGTGCTAGAGCCCAATCCATTGAAGCTCGGGATCCCCGACATCGATCGGCCTGGGCTTGGGGATGTCCTCACTTCTTCGCTTGTCAGACGGGTGCTTGTTCATGCTCACACGGGGAATATGGGTGTGCGCGCGAGCGGGGTAGGGGCAGGGGGTACGCAGACACGACGTGCCTCGTGACGGAATTTCTCCACACGTCGTACAAATCACAATCACGCCTGGCGAAACATGTAACTGAAGTCCTCTTGCCGATGCAGGGGGCACCACCCCACCTCCTCCTCCTCCTCCTCCTCCTCCTCCTTCCTCCTCCCTCCTCCTCCCTCCTCCCTCCTCCTCCTCCTCCTCCTCCTCCTCCTCCTCCTCCTCCTCCTCCTCCCCCTCCTCCTCCTCCTCCTCTCCTCCTCCTCCTCCTCTCCTCCTCCCTCCTCCTCCTCCTCCTCCTCCTCCTCCATCCTCCTCCTCCCTCCTCCTCTCCCTCCTCCTCCTCCTCCTCCTCCTCCTCCTCCCTCCCCCTCCCTCCCGCTTCCCACCCCCCCCCTGGTGCCCTGGCCAGGCTCTGGGCGCGGCTGCGGGACCCCCTGGCGCTGGACTCGGCCGCCGGGCAGCCGCCGCGAGGGGCGGGGAGCGCGTAGGGCGGGGCCGCCCGGGGGCGCCACTCAGGGGCAACGACTGGGGGGGATAGGCACAGGGGGGGAAAAGAGGGGGGTGATGTGGATATCATGGCGCGGGCCATGATATCTCCCCAGATTTCGCGGCGCCTCTTCTCATTTCATTACGTCCCTGGCCCCTCCGCTGGGCCGCGCGCATGCTGCCAGTCATGATTTGCACACACCCCTCTTGGACACCCCCCTCTTTGCCGCTCCCGAGGGTAGGCACAGGGGGGGACGCATCGACCCCCCATCGCCCACTGATCGCCGATGGGGGCCCGACAGCCCCCGCCTCCCCAGGAAGGTGCGGAGGTCCACGAGCGGGAGCCCATCGCCGATTTACCGGCGACGTGTCGCCGATTCCAGGTCGATGCATCCCCCCCTATGCCTATCCCAATCGTTGCCCCTCAGTAGGGGGGGGCCGCCCAGGGGGCGCCACGCGCGGCGCGCGGGCGAAAGGTCCTCGTCGTCGCCCTCTCTACGGTTAAGTCAGGCCCGCCCCTCTCTCTACAGGAGGAATATTCAAAAGTACTCCAAAAATAGTATGGAAACCATTTTCGGAGTTTTTTTTTAACAAAATCATTTGGGCGTATGTTTGAAGTGTTTCTAAGTTTTCGTCAAAAATCCCCCTGTAGGGGGACACGCCCGACTTAACTCTACGGGTTCGTCGTCCGTCCTCCTCCTCGGGAGCTCGTAAGGGGGGTCGCCCGGGGTCGCCACGTGCGACGCGCGGGTGACAGGTCTTCTTCGTCGCCCTCTGCGGGTTCGTCGTCCTCGTCCTCATCGTGCCCCCCCCTCCCCCCCCGCCCTCGTCCTCGTCCTCGTCCTGCCCCCCCCCGTCCTCCTCCCCGTCGTCCGGCGGTGGCGCAAGCGGCAGGCCCTCCTGGCACGTGCGCCGCCCGCCACGGCATGACCGGGGCACGCCTGGAGCACAGCCCGCGGCGAGCAACAACCTGCATCCGGCAGCGCACCGGCGGGTTTCCCAGAAAAGAGAGAGATATCGAACCCTTGCCGACGAGCTGTTCAGGGAACTAACACAAGGGCACACAGCCACATCACCCTCATCGTGAACTGTCCTCTTCATCCCGTTGCCCCAACATGCCTCCTAAAGCCTCCTCGTCAATCCACCTCTTCAACCCTGCTTCCCAACTTTCCGCCTCAACCGTCCTCATCAGCCAAAATCTTCCTCTTCAACCTTCATCTTCGGCACTCCACATCACCCTCTCCACACATAGCCGAGACCCGCCCCAGTCACATCTTCCTTCTGTATTCTTCTTTCTCCCCAACAGCCCTCCCTATCAATCGTCCTCCTCGATACATGCCCACCCTCGCCCTTAATCACTCTCGCCTCTTCAACCGTCAGTAATTCCTATCCTCGACCCTCTTCATCAGCATTCATACCAAGACCCTCCTGCCAAGCCCTCCTTCCCGACCCTCCTCCTACCTGGTCTTTCGCATCCACCTCCCTGCCTCCTCCCCCTTGTCCTCCATCAAACTCTACCCATTGTTCATTTCTAATTATTTGAGATTTCTTTGATTTTTTTGGGGCCAAGATCCTGTCATTTCTAATTGTTCTATCCTGGACCTCTTCCTGGCCACTAGGGGGCCAGGAACAATTAGAATCGAGCACAATTAGAAATGAGCACGATTAGAAATGAACGACGTGTACCTCGTACAGCCCTCATATCAAACCGTCCCCTGCAACGCTCCCCAACCGCCTCCACAATCCTCCTCCTCCTTCCTTCCGCCTCCTCCTCCTCATGATCCCTCTTCTCCAACCCTCCTCAACTCTCATCCTCAACAGTTCTCCTAGACTTTTCTCCTCGTGGGAGGATGAGGGAGCTGTGAGGAGTGCGAGAGTGGGTGGAGATGAGGGGAACGCTACGAGGCGGGTGGTGTAGCGCGAGGAGGCGGGCAACGAGAGAGGGTGAGGACGGCTGCGAGATAGAACCAGAAAAAAAGCAATGCTAACAACGCAACAACACACAACACACATGGTTGCGGGGAGAATCCTTGCGTCGTGGTACGTTCCGCTCCCCCGAGCTTTTTCTTCGGGTGGAGGGCAAAGGGTGAAATCTGAAATGCCCGCCGTTTCGATTGGCTCTCGAGGCTTGAATCTGCAAGAGGTGAATCACAAGGCGGCTTGATTTTCGAGGTGCGAAAGCCCATATGGATTTCACCCTGAGTCCTACACCCTAAGGAAATGCTCAGGTACTGTCGTGTTCCCGAGCGCCTCGCGGTCTGCATGCCCCGCTGAAGCTCGCGGCGTGCTGAGCAGTGCACGCTCGGCGGCACGTGCTCCTGTCCTCCGCTGCGCGGCGCGACTCGTGCCGCACGTGGGCCCTCCTCCGTACACGTCGGTCGCTGAAAGTAGGTATTTTTGGATTCCCAGATCCCAATCTGCTTCAAGCGCCTTCCTACTTCAAGAATCGGCACGCTGTTGCCGTGTTTTGGTATTCTCTGGGGGGGGCCTGGACCCAATCCACTGAATCCGCCTTCCTACTTCATGTTTTGACTTGTTTCTTCCACCCGACGTATAAGCTTGTGATGCTCGTGGCTTAAGCCGGGCCTGTCCAGGAGGAATACTCAAACATTGTCAAAACATAGTCCAGGGACCACGTTTTGAGTATGTTGGGGGCATCTCTTGACCCTGTTTTTGCATCTGTCTTGTTTTCCGCCCAGAATCCCCCTGTAGGGGGGACAGGCCCGACATGCGCGTGGGCCCTCCTCCGTAAGCTCGCGCTGCTCGCGGGCAGCGGCGTAGCCGCGGACGCTGGCCGCGCCGTCGAGTCGCCGCCGCTCGGCCGCCGCCGGGTGGCGCTCGGCTCACGCCTCGGGCCCTTGGCCGGCCCCTCGGGGCAGACCCGGGCACCTCGAGGCGGGCCGCCGGCGGGCACCTCGAGGCGGGCATTATGAAGTCGGGTCTGTCCCTCTACAGGGGGGGGACATGCCAAAATAGTCCAAAAATGCTCTGGGGACCATTTGTTTAGAGTATTTTGGGGGCATCTTTTGAGTAGGTTTTGACTACTTTTTTTGTTCGCCCAAGATCCCCCTGCAGGGGGACAGGCCCGACCCAAGGCTGGCATGAAGTCGGGCCTGTCCCTCTACAGGGGGAACTTCAAAATAGTAAAAATAGTCTGGGGACTATTTTTTTGGAGTATTTTGGACATCTTTTGATTATGTTTTGAGTACTCTTTATTGTTCGTCCAAAATCCCCCTGTAGGGGGACAGGCCCGACCTAAGGCTGGCATTAAGTCGGGCCTGTCCCCCAAAAGGGGGAAGTTCCAAAATTGTAAAAAAAAATCGTCTGGGGACTATTTTTGTTGGTGTATTTTAGGGCATCTTTTGGTTATTTGTTTGTTACTTTATTGTTCGTCCAAAATCCCCCTGTGGGGGGGCAGGCCCGACCTGATGCTGGCAAACCGCCGACGGCCGTCAGAGACGCCGAGAAACCTCGGACCTCGACCCCCCCGTTCCTGCTCACAGCCGCGGGTGGGTCCCGCTGGCCATCCCCCCCTCGGGCGGACGGCCTCTGAGCTGCCACCGCCGAAGGCCGACGGAAACGCCGGAAAGCCTCGGACCTCGGACCTCCCGGTCCTGCCACGCACCTCGAACCTTGAACCCCCCGTTCCTGCTCACAGCCGCGGGGTGGCCGCGGGTGGGTACCGCTGGCCATCCCCACCCTTCCTTCAAGTCAGGCCTGTCCCTCTACAGGGGGAAGATTCAAAAATAGAAAAAACAAACAGTCTGGGGAGTATGTTTGGACTATTTGGGGCATTTGGGGGGTACTTTTTGCGCACTTTTTGCGCATATTTTTCCGACCTGACCCTTCCCCCTCGGGCGGACGGCCCCTCGAGTCTCGGACCCCCCCCCCGCCCCGCGCCTCCTCGGCGCCCTGCCCGGGCGCCCCGGCGCGCTCCCCGCGAGCCATGAGCCGCGGCGCGGAGGCAGCCGTGCGGGCCTGCGCCCGCCGCGCCCCCAAGAAGGCCGCCGCCGTCGCCGCCCCCGCCAGGCGGGCCCGCGGCGGCGGCGCCCGGCGGCGGCGCCGGGCGGCGGCGCCGGGCGGCGGCGGCGGCGGCGGCGGCGGCGGCGACGACGACGACGACGACGGCGACGGCGACGACGACGACGACGACGACGCCTGGCGGCGACGACGACGACGCCTGGCGGCGACGCCCTGCGGCGGCGGCGACGGCGGCGGCGGCGATGAGCAGAGGAGGCGCAGTTGAGGGCCAGCTGAGGTTCGAGGTTTTCTGGCATGTTCGTCGGCTCTCGGCGGTTTCCCAGCCTCGGGATGCCTTCCATCAGCTGCATCTCGCCGAGATTGTTCGGGGGGGCCGGGCTTGTCCCGAACGGCCGCCAGAGAGCCGAGTTGTGAACCAAAAGCGACGGCAACAACGGCGACGACGGGCGACGGTTGCGAGGTACCGATGCCGTTGCGGCTGCTCGGCCTGGAGATCCCTCGTCGGTACGGCTGGATTCGCCTTGAAATATTTGTCAGGACGCACCCCAGGAGACGTCTGGGGAGAAGCGGCATCGGCATTTGTTACAAACAGAGCCAGGAGAATTAGATTATCTGTGATTTGTCGCGTTCATTGGCCAACGCGTAATCAACATTCGTCGTCTTCAACATCCCTCTCCTGCCCTTCTGCACGTGTTTGGCGCGTCTGGCGCTTGGCATGTTGTCCCCCATGGTCTGCACCCGTTTGGCGTGTCCGCTTCGCTCTGCCGAGGCGAAGTGCTGTAGGCTGGCGCATGGTTTCTGGTAGATTACGACCGCGACGGCGGCGGCGACGACGGTGCCGCTCGGGGGTCGTCGTAGTGATCCTTGGCTCCTCCTTTGGGGAACGAACAGATACCCATCCTCTCCCAAGGTGCGTTCTGACCAGAGTTTCGGGGCCCATCTAAGCGTGGCGGCGAGGGCCCTCCAGGACGAGCAGCCGCAGCGGCCTCGCTACAACTATTTTCCTCCCCTGAGTCGTCGCCGTCGCCGTCGCCGTCGTCGTCGTCGTCGTCGTCGTCGCCGTCGCCGTCGCCGTCAGGCGGCCGCCGCTGTGGTCTGGGCAGCAGGGCTTCCGGCAGTTCGAGCACGGCCTGGAGCCGGGCGTCGGCGGGAGAAGCGCTTTTGTGCCTGGGCGCGCTTCTTGGGTCGAGCCCCGACAATCCCCAGGGACCTCCTCGCTCCGTCCTCCTCCTCCTCCTCCTCCTCCTCCTCCTCCTCCCTCCTCCTCCTCCCTCTCCTCCTCCTCCTCACCTCCTCCTCCTCCTCCTCCTCCTCCTCCTCCTCCTCCTCCTCCTCCCCTCCTCCTCCTCCTCCTCCTCCTCCTCCTCCTCCTCCTCCTCCTCCTCCTCCTCCTCCTCCCCTCGGCCGCTATTGAGCCCCAGGGTCGAGCCCCGACGATTCCTAGGGACCTCTCAAGCTTTCGTCAGGCCTGCGCAGTGTCCATCAGAGCAAGGAGCGCAGCTGAGCGCAGGAGGGCGTGTATGCAGCTACGGAGCTCGAACGCGCAGAAGCAAGGTGCGGACGACACTGCACAGGGGCGGAGATGGGAATGGCGGATCGCGCCGCATCGTCGATGCATCGGCGATGCGGCTCGATGTGGAGCCCGATTTTCTCCACGCTGGCGTCTCCGATGCATCGCCGATGCATCGGCGATGTATCGCCGATGTATCGGCGATGTATCGCCGATTTATCGGCGATGCGGCGCGATGTTCCGACCCCATCTACTCCGACCCCATCTAGGAGGCCTCCAAGGGGCACCTCTGGCTTGGACGGGCGGCGAGCCCAGGGGGTCGACTACACGTCAGAGTGACGCTTCGCCGGAGTGGCCTTTGGTGCAGCCCCCAGGTCGGGGGTTCGTAGAGGGAGGGTTACCCGAAGGTGGGGCTGGGGAACGGGCCCAGCTGGATTCTCCCGTTTAACTCGTTTCCTTCTTCCTGGGGCCGTTCGGAGCGATTTTCCTTGCAACCCCACTTTTGCCCCAACCCCACTTTTTTGTGCCCCACCGACCCGGGCCCCTCGACCGCTGAAAGCGATGGGATGGCAGTGGCTTGCCCCGCTGGGGTTGGACCCCCCCCAGCGCCTCCCGAACGTCGCGCACCAAAGGCTCCGAGAGTGTCCCCGGGAATCGAAGAAGAAAAGACGGCATGAACATTTTTCCCAACCATCTTGTGGGGTTGGGTCCAAGAGACGGTCCCCGCGTTCCTCCTCCCTCCTTCCTCCCTCCTCCTCCCCCTCCTTCCTCCTCCCCCTTCCTCCCTGCGTTTCACCCACCCATCACAACGTTGCGTGGCCCCGTATAGAGAGCTCCACCGAAGGCCCCAGTGGCAGGGTCCGCATGGTGGCCCCGGGCCATTTCGGCACACCCCTCACAATGATCGTGACCCCAGAGGAGCTCCACCGAAGGCGCCAGCGGCAGGGTTCGCATGGCGGCCTCGGGCCATTTCGGCACACCCCTCACGAGGATCGTGGCCCCAGAGGAGCTCCACCGAAGGCGCCAGTGGCAGGGTTCGCATGGCGGCCTCGGGCCATGTCGGCACACCCCTCACGCGGATCGTGGCCCCATAGGGAGTTCCACCGAAGGCGCCAGCGGCAGGGTTCGCATGGCGGCCTCGGGCCTCCACCGTAGGCGCCAGCGGCAGGGTTCGCATGACGGCCTCGGGCCATTTCGGCACACACCCCACGAGCATCGGGGCCCCCTAGGAGCTCCACCGAAGGCGCGAGTGGCAGCCTCCCTCCTGGCTCTCAGAGCCCTCTCCTGCTTCTGCTCCTCCGTCGGGGGGACGCCGTCCTCGTCGTCGTCGGCGCCCGCGAAGACGGCCACGAACGTGTCCCTGAGCATGTCGGACTCTGGCGGGAAGCCGTGGCCACATAGGGAGCGCGGGCGAAGATGGTTTTCGCAACTGCGGTATTCACAACTGCGCATGGTCGGGTCCTTCGCGAGGCTAATTTTTCGTCGGCGGCTAGGCAGGGGTCGTCTGCGCTGGCGGCTGAAGCTAACTAAACGGGGCACCTTGTAGCGAACTGGCCACCATGCAAGAGGAGGGAGGACGGAAGAGCGGGCGGCCGCCGGGAGGGGAGAAAAAGGGGCGAGGGCAGCTCAAGGGGACGAGCCACGCCCAGAACGACAGCATAAACGCAAATTTTCCGCGCTCCGCGCGGAAAATTCGGATTGACACTGAGGCCCCCCTGGCGGCGCCTCCGGCGTCGCCCCTGGCGCGTTCCGAACACCAGGGAAGAGGGGTCCACCGCGGATCCCGCGCGGACCTCCACAAGCTGATGTTTATGCAGTTGTCTCGTCTTCCGGGAAAGCCCGGGGCACCTCTGGCTTGGGTCGGTGGCGAGTCCAGGGGGGGAGTGAGAGGGAGCAGGCCTTCTCAGAAGGCACGAGGGCTTCTGAGAAGCCCCACCGCCTTTGAGCAGGCCTGTCCCCTCTCGCTTTCCGCTGGGCTCGCCGCCAATTGGAGCCAGCTGGGGGTCTGAGGTGGCCCAGCGTTGGTTCGGGCGAGCAAGCAGGGGGGAGGCGAGGTTCGAGGCCTTGGGTTCGAACAGTTTTAAACATTGGTTTTGGCCTCCGGGTGCCGTTTTCGGACCCTGTCACCGTCAAAAACGGATCCGGGTGAAGAATTGCACCTGATGGACACCAGGTAGGGTCCAGGGACCGATTTTGAGCGGATTTGCCTTTATCCCCCCCGCGTCTTGAATTTTTGTTCGGGCCCCAGCCAGCTCAGACCTCCTGGCCGCCTCCATTCTCTGACGTACGCGTTCAGAGGTCGGCGCGGATGTCTTGGATCTCGGACCCTGGCGCGCGGATCGCGAGCGCGCCAGGGGCTGCGCCGGAGGCTCAGCCAAGGGGGTCGGACGCCGATCCGAGAAGTCTGCGCGGACCTCCGATGGTTGATGCGCAGGTTGTTGTTTCTATGTGTTCCTCTACCGCACCCGAGGAGTGGCACCCGAACAAGGAGGCCCTCTTGAAGTCTGGCCCCGGCGCGGTGGTCGTGGCCTCATCCTATGAGTACCGCGCCGTCGGCAGTGCGTCCGCGAGGCAGGTGCGGAAGTACTCCTCGTTCGCCAGCCACTGCGACTACTGGGACTTCATCGACCGGCATAACGAGAGCGGCCTGCCCCACAACCTCCATGAGGTCTTCCTGGCCAGCGGCCCGAGGTGCCTCTACTTCGACCTCGACGGCGGCGTCCACTTCAAGCAGGACCACTCGCACATCGTCCTGTGGCTGCAGCGCTTTGTCCGCTGGTTCTTCATCGGAGACCACATGGGCTGGGACTCGGACGACCCCGACGCAGTCGTCCTGGCTTCCCCCGACCCCCAGAAGTACTCGTGCCACGTGGTCTTCCCCCAGATCCAGTTCGCGGACTTCCAGGAGCAGCAGGCGTACGTGAGCGTGCTTTTGGCCGCCCTGCCGGCGCTGGAGGTGCAGCTCGAGGGCGGGGAGTCGGTGCCGATCCTCTCAAAGGTGGTGGACCGGGTGCCCTACACGAACTTCCAGCTGTTCAGGTCTAGGCCTCCCGAATGGGGACGAAGTGGACGGGGTCCTCCGACCCCATCTGCTCCGACCCCATCTGCTTGGCAGCGCTCGGACGTGTGCATGCTTCCTCCGGCGAGGACCATCGAGGAGCATCCTTGATCCTTCGGCGACAAAGAACCGCGCACGAAGCCAAAGAGAAAGGCACGGGGAAGGGGCTAGGGGAAGAAAAAGTGGCATAAACATAAAAACTCGGAGGTCCGAGCGGATTTCTCGGATCGGCGCTGGGGCCCCCCGGCGGCGCCTCCGGCGCCGCCCCTGGCGCGCTCCGCGCGCCAGGGAGGGGGGTCCAGCGCCGATCCGAGAAATCCGCGCGGACCTCCGGGTTTTTATGTTTATGCCACTTCTTGTTCCCGAAGGGGCGTCCGAGCGATGGCCAGGGCTGGGAGGCCTCCCCGTCCAGGGGGCCGTACGCGTGCAAGAGGGGGGTGGGCGGCCGCCTGCGGGCCGACACCCGCCTCGAGCCCGAGGGCTTCTTCCGCAGCCAGCCAGCCTGGAGCAGACCCCTGGCCCTAGGATGAAGTCGGGCCTGTCCCTCTACAGGGGGACGATTTTTTGATTAGGGGGACGATTTTTTGATTATTAGTTTTAAAAAATAGTACGGGGACGTTTTTTTGATTCTTTTTTAAGATTAGAGAGTTTTTTGTTGGCAGCAGGCAGCCTGGAGCAGACCCCTAGCCCTATGATTAAGTCGGGCCTGTCCCTCTACAGGGGGAATCTTCAAAAATAGTTTTAAAAATAGCATGGGGACGTTTTTTTTTGATTATTTTTTAAGATCTGAGAGCTTTTTGTTGGCAGCAGGCAGCCTGGAGCAGATCCCTGCCCTTATGTCGGGCGTGTCCCCCTACAGGGGGATTTTCGATGAAAAATTGAAAATACCTCCAACAGTACCCCCCCAAAGGCCAAAACATATTCAAAAAACATCGAGGAGTCGTCCCAAGAGACTAGGCTTGGGCTGCTTCTGAGCCTTCCTCCCGTCGTGGGACAGGCCCGACTTAACAGCCCAGACTTCTGTCGGGCGTGCCCCCCTACAGGGGGATTTTCGACGACAAATAAAAGGTACCCCCCAAATACCCCAAAAAGGCAAGAAAATATTCAAAAATAGTCCTCAGACTAGGTTTGGACGATTGTTTCATTATTTTTGGGGTATTCTATTTTTCGTCGAAGATCCCCCTGTAGGTGGACAGGCCCGACTTAACCCTAGCCCTATGATTATGATGCTCCAGCCGACTTTAGCCTCGATCGCCAGGAATAATGTCGAGCGCCAAAAAAGGTTCCGAGACTCAGGGGCTTTCACGTGCCAGGCCCTGGGAGACACTGGCCCGACACTGTTTCGACACTGTTTCGACGCTCTTTTGACACTTTTCTGGGTGCTCGAATTTTTTTCTGGGATGCGGTCCTGAAGTTGGACGGGAACAACAGAATCTTACGATTGGCATCGCCTCATCTCGATGCCGATCTCAGGGTTTCCCTCCGTTTCCGAGGGCGCATCCCTAAGATTGTCGTCGATTTTTGGCTTGTTGATCTTGGGGATAGGGATACGCTCGAGGCTGGTTCGCAGCAACCCCCTGGCCTGCTTCGCGGGCAACGCGGACGCCGACCACGCGCTGAGACTGCCCGCGCTGGACCAGCTTTAAGTCGAGCCTGTCCCTCTACAGGAGGAGTATTCAAGAATAGTAAAAAATAGTCTGGGGACGATTTGTTGACAATTGTTGGGTGTTTGGGGGCATTTTTTGACTATTTCTTATTTTTCGTCCAAACTCCCCCTGTAGGGGGACACGCCCGACTTAAGACCAGCTCCTCCGCGTGAACGAGGAGGTGCTCGGCGGCGAAGTCCGAAACATACCCTCGCCGACCAGCTATTCGGGCAGCTGGATGGGCGGCGGGGGTAGGGTCCGGTATTCGTCGAACCCCAACCCTACCTTCGGTTCAGGAGAGTCGATGGCTGGTGGGGGTTAGGGTTCGAATGTCGCCACGCAGGTGAGGCACTTCCACGAGCAGCAGCGGCACAGGGCCGTGGCCTCCTCGGGGGGCAGGGACCCCAACGGCGTCTCGCTGCACGACGTCATGTGCCTGTACCTGGACGAGTTCCAGATGCAGGGCGGCGGCCTCATCGACTTCGCCGGGCTCACCGACCTGCAGCAGTACGAGGCGGCGATGAAGCACCTGAACCCCGAGCGCGCCTCGCAGTGGTGGAGCTGGTTCCGCATCTCCAGCGTCACGTACAGCATGCTGCGGAGGCACCAGGGGAACGAGCCTGCCTGCGCGAGAATCTGGAACGCGCACCTCTCCTGGTCCTCGAGGTACCCGTACTTCGACGAGGCCGAGAACGTCGAGATGGTGATGCGGTGCGAACGCTCGGAGGCGCAGGGCAAGAAGATGTCCTTCCTGCCCACCCTGATCAAGATGGTGCGCTTCGACAACCCGGGCATGCAGGTGCGCGAGACCGCCTGGCGGTGGACGCTGGCCTCCGGCGGTGCCCCGGCCGCGCCGCGGCCGGAGGCCCCTGGCGGCGCCGGCCGCCCGATGGCCGACGGCTGCGCGGCGCCGGCGGGCCCCAGCGGCGCGGCGGCCGCTGCCTGAGCTGGCCGGCCGCGCCGCGCACGCCACGCGTCCCGGGGAAGCCGAAGAACCCAGGGATCCGAGGGCATGATTTGTCCAGTCCTTACCAGCCTCGAACGTATCCCTATCCCTAAGATTGACACGCCAAAAGGCGATGGCAATCTTAGGGATCCGCCCTCAAAAAATAGGGGAGTCCCTACGATTGGCATCGTGATGAGGAGGTGCCCAGCATAGGGATAGGGATATGTTCCAGGCTGGTAAAAGTCCGGCGGTTTCTTGTGGAGTTCGGCCTCCGCGCGGGGTCCGTCCTCGGGCCCGGGGGCCAGCAAGAAGGGATCCGGGGCGAAGAGCCACCCCCGGGGAAGTGGTCGTCGGGGCCTCCGGGACCGCGGACTGGAAAAAAGCAGAGCGGCGGACGTCAGGGAATCCGAGGGGGAGGGCGGGGCTCACTTCGCGAAGTGAGCCCCACCCCCCCCCCTCAGAAATCGGGGGGGGGGCAGGTGCAATTAAAGGTTCGCATGTGGCCCCCCCACCTGCGTCTCGGGGAAGCCGAAGAAGCAGGGCGGCAGCGCGGACGGGCGTCAGCCGCTGGCCCCGCGCGCCCCTCTGGCTGGCCCGGGGCCCTCCTCTGCTGGCCCCTGGCCTGGGGGCTGCCTCGTGGCCGGCCCGGGTTCGCGGCCCTGGCCCCGGGGCAGCGCTGACCCCACAGCCGGCGCGTGTGCAGGTCCCCGCCTCCCCGCTCGGCCTGCCACCGCGAGGCCTCCTCCCGTGGCGGGCCGACCCGCCCGCGGCACTGTCGCAGGGCAGGCGGGCATGTGCGGCGTCGCCCCTCGCTCGGGCTTCTGGCGGCAGGGACAGCCCCGTGCGGAGCCACCCCGCGCGCGGGGTGCGAGTGCGTCCAGGCTCTGGGCCTCCCAAGCGGGCTCGGAGCAGATGGGGTCTGAGGATCGCGCCGCATCGCCGATGCGGCTCGATGTGTAATCCGGCTTTCTCCACGCCAGCGTCGCCGGTGCACCGCCGACGTCGCCGGCGTCGCCGGTGCATCGGCGATGCATCGGAGATGCGGTGCGATCCTGAGATCCCATCTGCTCCGATCCCAGTCTGCGGGACCTGGCGTGTGCCTGGGCGCGCGAGCGTGCGCGCCACGGGCACAGACGCAGCATGGTGCTTGTAGGATGAATCGAGCGCTCATGTCTACTTGTACCTTGTATGTTCAATCCGGTCAGCCCAGCTAGGGTGGCCACAGTGTCGGCGCTCCAGCGCCCCCTCCGCTGCGCGTTCATGGCGCTACGTGCGCGGAGCCATAATCTGGCATGTCTGGATACCCGTCGCGACGGGCTTCTCTCTCAACACTTGTCTTCGTACTCGGCATGGCCTCTTTGAAACTGCTTTTTATTTGCCACAGACCGGCCGTTACCCAGGCCAAGCCCCCCCCTCTCCCCCCCCCCCACTTTGGTAACCGCGAGGGTTTTTTATGTAGAGGATTCCCCCCTCAGCTCTCGGTGGGGAAAGCGTAGAAGCTCGTCCCTTCTCTTTCTTCCTTGCCCTTCCTCCTCCCTCCCTTCGAGTAGTAGTAGTAGTAGTAGTAGTAGTAGTAGTAGTAGTAGTAGTAGTAGTAGTAGTAGTAGTAGTAGTAGTAGTAGTAGTAGTAGTAGTAGTAGTAGTAGTAGTTAGTAGTAGTCGTCGTCGTCGTCGTCGTCGTCGTCGTCGTCGTCGTCGTGTAGTAGTAGTAGTAGTAGTAGTAGTAGTCGTCGTCGTCGTCGTCGTCGTCGTCGTCGTCGTCGGCGTAGTTAGTAGTCAAGTAGTAGTAGT